TTCCATCTATCCCTACACTACAGAGAGCTTTTATCAAGAAAGGATGTTGTGTTTTGTCAAATGCTGTCTCTCCATCTATTGAGAGGATCCTATAGCTCTTGTCCTTTCTTTTATTATGTGGTGTATCACGCTGACATGCAGATGTTGAACTACCTTTGCAGCCCTGGAATAAATCCCACTTGGTTGTGGGGAATAATCCTTTTAATATACTGTTGGATCCTATTATCTAGTATCTTGGTGAGAATTTTTGCATCCATATTCATCAGCGATCTCCTTTTTGATGGGGTCTTTGTCTGGTTTCTGGGAGCAAGGTAATGCTGGCCTCACAGAAAGGGTTTAGAAGTTTTTCTTCCATTTCTATTTTTTGAAAGAGCCTCAGAAGAATAGGTATTAATTCTTCTTTAAATGTTTGGTAGAATCCCTCTGGGAGGCCATCTGGCCCTGGACTCTTGTTTGTTGGGAGATTTTTTTATTAGTGCTCCAATTTCTTTGCTGGTTATGGATGTGTTCAGGTTTTTTATTTCTTTTTGTTTCAGTTTTGGTCATTTATATGTTTCTAGGAATGCATCCATTTTCTTCCAGATTGCCTATTTTTATAATTACTCATAATATTCTCTCATAAATGTTTGTATGTCTTTGGTGTTGGTTGTGAAACAAGAGAAGTACCAAATACACAATCTATCCTTACACCTAAAGAAGCTGGAAAAAGAACAGCAAATAAGGCCCAAACCCAGGAGGAAAAGAGAAATAATAAAGATTATTGTAAAAATCAGTGATACAGAAATTAAAAAAAAAAATAGATCAACAAAACTAGGAGCTTGTTATTTGAAAGAATTAATAAGCTTGAAAACCTCTTGCCCTTTAGTTTTCTCGATTGTTTCCTTTGCTATGCAGAAGTTTTTTATTTTGATGAAGTCCCAATAGTTCATTTTTGTTTTTGTTTCCCTTGCCTCACGAGATGTGTCTAGTAAGAAGTTGCTATAGCTGAGGTCAAAGAGGTTGCTGCCTATATTCTCCTCTAGGATTTTGATGGTTTCCTAGCTCACATTTTTTTATTTTTGGGTATGGTGTAAGGAAATGGTCCAGCTTCCTTCTTCTGCAGGTGGCTGTCCAGTTCTCCCAAAACCATTTGTTGAAGAGACTGTCTTTTTTCCATTGGATATTCTTTCCTGCTTTGTCAAATATTAGTTGACCATATAATTGTGGTCCATTTCTGGGTTTTCTTTTCTGTTCCATTAATCTATGTGTCGGTTTTTATGCCAGTTCCATACTGTCTTGATGACAGCAGCTTTGTAATATAGCTTGAAATCCAGAATCGTGATGCCTCTAGCTTTGCTTTGCTTTTTCAGGACTGCTTTGGCTATTCAGGGTCTTTTGTGATTCCATACAAATTTTAGGATTGTTCGTGAAAAATGGTGGTATTTTGATAAAGATTGCATTAAATGTAAGCAACATTTATAGCAACACAAGCTTACCTCAAGAAGCAAGAAAAGTCTCAAAATCTTAAATAAACACTCTATCCTTACACCTAAAGGAGCTAGAGACAGAAGAACAAACAAACAAACAAAAAAAGCCAGGAGAGGGACGCCTGGGTGGCTCAGTTGGTTAAGCAGCTGCCTTCGGCTCAGGTCATGATCCCAGCGTCCTGGGATCGAGTCCCGCATCAGGCTCCTTGCTCGGCAGGGAGCCTGCTTCTCCCTCTGCCTCTGCCTGTCATTCTGTCTGCCTGTGCTTGCTCTCTCTCCCTCTCTCTCTCTCTGACAAATAAATAAAATCTTTAAAAAAAAAAAAAAAGCCAGGAGAAGGAGGGAAATAATAAAGATTAGAGCAGAAGTGGGTGGGGGGAAAAAGGACAACAACCCTAGAAGAGCAAGTGACAGCAGACAAATATGACAATAAAATTGACAGATGGAAAGCAATTGGATAAATGCCAGGTGAATTAAGAGAACAGAGAAAGACAAAAGCAAAAGACAACCAAAATCAAAGAAAACCAACACCTATAGAGAAAGTAGTCAACAAGAAGCACTTAAGTATGACAGCACCCTAGACAATTACAGGAACTGAGTGTACTGGGCACTTCTGGAGTCACCAGGCACTTCTAAGGACAGAAATAATGAGGAGCAGGCTAAACTCAGTGTATAAGAGATTCCCTTCCCCAACCCAATCAGGTGACAATCCCTCTTCTACCCTGGCTGAAGGTTGGACATTTACTCTGAAAAGAAATTCAACCACACAAACTTTGGAAAGGAAAAAGTAATTAAGTATGCAATTACATAATTAAGGTAGGAGTGATTAAGTATAATCTGTACACCAAACATCGAGGAGAAATCCCCCACCCCACACACAGCTGTCTTCCCCTGTTTAACTCCACCGATGGTGGCAACCAAGATTATTGTGCCCTTATTCCTATAGAAGGGTGTAGAGGATTTCTCTTTGGAGAAATTAAAGATCTCAGATCAATAGTATATGTATGGATATATAATTTGAAACAATAATAAAAATCAACCAAATAAAAAGGAAGTATTCTGGAAATTCTAATACAGTAGATGATTTAGATGATCAACATTCCTTGTGGACATACAATCCTTCTTATATTCAGTTCACCAAATCACCAAACCCACCTCTATCTTCTTCCTTCTGCAGACCCCTAATCAGCACAACTCCTTGCACTTATACCCCCTGCAAAATCAAGCCATCAATGGGCATACCTAAATATGTCCCTTAGCACCATCTAGGGAATAAAACAAGAAGTAAAACTGGATCTGCCTTCAAGTTACATGAATTATGTTTGACAGGCTGTGTCATATGCAGGAATCTGTAACATAAATTAATCACAAATTAGGGGCACCTGGTTGCTCAGTTGGTTAAGCAGCTGACTCTTGATCTCAGGTCTTGATCTGGGTTGTGAGTTAAAGCCCCATGTGGAGCCTACCTTAAAAAAAATTAGGGGCACCTGGGTGGATCACTCAGTTGAGCGTCCAACTCTTGATATCAGCTCAGGTCATGATCTCAGGGTCCTGGGATGGAGCCCCACATTGGGCTTCCTGTTCAGCAGGGAGCCTGTTTCAGGATTCTTTTTCTCTCCCTCTGATCCCCCCAAATGGATGAGTAAATCTTAAGAAATAAAAATAAATTAAACACAATTAAATACTAACTTGCATGGTACAGAGTTATGTGGTGTTCAGAGACATGTCAGATCAAAGAGAATGTGCCTGTATCAGTGGGAGGCAAAGCAGAAAATGGTGAAGACACCAGATACAGGAGCTGGGCTACACCATTGCAGTGCTCTGTAGATCATGTCAAGGTTTGGGGGTTTTACTCTACGTATAATGAAAAGCCAATAAAGGATCCTAGTCAGGGAGTGACATAATTTTAAGATCACTGGATGAAGAATGGACTAGAGGGAGGCAAAAACCAATAGGAAGAATAGTTAGAAAGCTATTGTGGATAGGTAAGCCATTGTGGTGGATTAAAGACCTATTATAGAAGTAGAATCAATAAGATTTGCTGCTGTCTTCCTTAGGTAGAGAACAGAGGGAGGGACTAAGAGGAAGGAGCTAAGGATTCTGATTCCCAGAATTCTGATTTGAGCAACTGGCGGATGGTGGTTTCACATTTCCAGGTGGAGGAAGACTGGGAAAGGAATAGGTTTCAGAAGGGAAACAAAAAGTTAGATATTGAGCAAATTCAGGTGCAGATACTTGAGATACTCCCCTCGATTTGTCAAAGAATCAGTTGATTCATGGTCCTCTCTGTATTCCACCTTCTAGGACACCACGTGGCCTTGGGACCCAGCAAAAAAATCCACTCTAGAGTCAGTGAGGGGTTGGTGGTTGTTGGCATATAGATGGCATTGGAAATCATGAAAATATAGGAGACTATTTAGGGCAGTGGTTTTCAAACCTGGGTGTGTGTTTACAATGCACTTTTCAAGACCCCATCCGGGACTGTTTCTGATTCAGTAAGTCTTGGTCAGGTCCAGGAATCTGCTTTATTAAAAGCCAGTGCAAAAAGGTTAGGATGCAGGTAATTGGGGCTAGATGAAATAGGCTTGAAGACAATCCAGAGATGAGACACTAGCAACTCCAACCCTTTCCAGAAGCTGGACAGAAACAGAGAGAGGTTGGTAGGTAAAGGGGAATGTGAGGCCAACCAGACGGTTATCTCTTTTTCTATGCTATTAGTTTGTTTTTTAAGGTGGGAAACACTATGGCAGTGGTTTGTAACGCTGGCTACACATGTAAACCCTCCTGGGCTTTTAAAAAATACTGATGCACAGAATCCACCCAAAATCAGTAAATCAGAATCTCTGGAGGTGAGGGCTCAGATATCAGCATTTTTAAGCTTTATTTATCCTCCCTCCTCCCCAAAGCATTGTTTTTATTTCCTCAGTGCCAGGCATTGAGTATGCGCTCAATTCATGTGCACTGTTGTGTAAAGTACTGCTCACCAGTGAGCAGTCGGTACAACCGAAACCACTGTATGTTCTGTAAAGCCCATGTAATCTTCGTGTGAAAAGGATTATAGTCTAAGAATTGAAGCCCGAGAGGGGAATTCAATACGTAAATTCTCTCCGCCTTGGTAAGTGGAGAATCAGGATCAGAACCCAGGGTCCCAACTCTCAGGTGAGAACTGCCTGGCCTTTCAACAATCCTTATTTTAACCACTCCCCACACCTGCTCACCCATCAAGACAGCGGGTCTAATAAACACCACACCGTTTCCTAAATCACAAACTGCGGTCCCTTTCATCAAATCCGTAGGCACTCCCAAACCCTGCTCTGTCCTAGACCCAGCCTATTCCCCTCACAGCCTCACGCCCAGTCCTGGACTTGACCAGTGGGACCTAAGGTCCCTCCCAGCGCTGGCGCCGCTCGGCTGGGGGGAGGGGAGGGGAAACTCGTCGCCATAGCAACCGCGGACACGCAAATGGGCCCTCAGTAACAGGAGACCAGAGCTCCTGGTACAATTTTTTTTTTTTTTTTAATGTGCTTTCCTTACCGCTTCCCGTGCCTGGTGCGTGAATTTGAGGGTCTGGTAAGAAAGCTCCATCAGCTACCGTTTCAGGGCCGGAGAAGTGAAAAGGGCCAGTCACTAGCCTGACCAGTACTTCCAAAGAAAACTGCTCGGGGAAACCTGACGCTTAACTAGCCCGCCCCTTTCAGGATTGGCCGGAGCCTGGACTGGTCAGCCAATCGCTGGGCAAAGATGGATTCTTTCTCATGCCAATCAATATTAAAATAAGCACGTTTCATCCAAAGCCTTTGCAGGGCACTGACCAATCAAGAGAGGGAGGGGGGATGATTGACAGGGTTTGGGGCGGGGCTTGAAGTTTTCTGGTTCGGGTCATTTCTGTCTCTAAAATGCCAGGTTACCAAGTTTATGTATCGTATTATTTGTCCTTGATTTCGGCTGTTGTCCAGGCCTTTGTGACCCAGCGCTTACGTTCCCAAGACTACACTTTGACACCCTGTCTTTTCCAGGTCCCCATCTCTTCCCCCCTCCCCCGCCGTCCCCCCCCTTATTAAGGTAACGTTTGGAAGGAACGTTCTGCTTTACTTTGAAATGTCTGCAAGTGGTCCTTTTAGACTGGAAGAATCTGCTATGGACTTTGGCTGTCAGAGGCTTTCTGGGATGCAAAGTGTGCGTCAACCTTTCCCTTCTCCTCCAACTCCCTTCGCTCTGGACCTATGCTCTTTAAAAGCGGACAAACAGGGACTTGACATTTTCCTCTGCTCCATTTTCTTCATGTGTTAACTATTTTGTGTCTTCAGTGTCTTTGCCTTCTGTCTCCGCTTGCTGTTAATCTTATTCTAAACGATCCCCTCTTCATTATCTTCGGGCTGCTTCTTGCATTCTCTACCCTTAGAATTTAAAAAAAAAAAAATCCAGTTTCCTCAATCTAAAAAAACAAAACAAGCAAACAAAAAAACCAGAACAAAGCAAAACACCAGATCTCTCATCGTATAATTGCTGAATTGAATCCCCTCTCTTCCATTCACTTCAAGCTTTTTGAAAAGACTGACTAGGGGTGAGGTCCGGAACAGATGACCAAGAGAGAATTCTTGAGACATCTTTGGTGCAAAATTGTGGTTTATTAAAGTACGGGGACAGGACTGGTGGGCAGGAAGAGCTGCTGCCCCAGGGTGAGGAGTGGTCTATTATATACTTGTAAATTGGGAGGGGGTTAGGGATGATGTAAGTCTCTAAAGAATTTTGGAAGCAAGGTTTCTAGGACCTTGAGGGGCTAGCTATTTTCTGGGGAAAAGGTTATTCATTACCGGTAATAAAACCCTCTAGTGAGACCCTTTAGATGTATATCCGTGGGCTATATGCTTGGGAATGATTGTGACCCTATCTTGGTGGTTTAGAGATAAAAGTTTCCTAAAGGAATTGTTAAAGTAGACTTACAGGATCCTGGTTGGGGGTAGGGGTTTGTCAGGCTAGGATTGTCCTTTGCCCTTAGCAAAGCCTTAAGGTGGAGGTCACTCTGCCTGTTTTAAGGGCTTGTCAGTAGGTAAGGAAATTTAATTATTCTTCTGCCTCTGCTTCCCACATCATTCCCCCCTGAACAATTTTGACCCTTAAATCTTTAAGGTAGTTGAAGGTGGAAGGTCTCATTTTCTGTAACTTCTTCCTGCTGAATAGGGGTGTAGAGTTGTCCCTACCTACTCTGGTCAACATTGATCAGTTGAGCAATGTGTAGGGAGTTAAGAAAGACAGAGGCAGCTGAATCCAGCGCTCCCAGTGAAGAAGTGTCTCTGTGCGTGGTAAGGATCATCTGTCATCGTGAAGTCATTTTAGCAATGGAGTCTGGGCACCAAATAGAGAAACATCGAACAAGGCAACACATTAAGATTAATAAGGCTATAAGAATGAGAAGTCCAAAAAGGGAGATTTTTGGCCATAGTCCTCCTTTAAACCAGGAACTTAACCAATCACTGAGAGAGAGAGAGGGATCCTATACACCTTCAATCTGGGTATTCATATCTTTTATTAGTCCTGTGACATTTTTGTGATATTCTGGGATGTACACACAACATTCTGATTTGATAATTTCACATGTGACTGTCTTCTTCCGTTTGCCACCTCCCATCCATTTCTCAACACATTCTGCCCCTCCTCTTTTGAACCTGTTCTTATCAGAGTCTTCAATAACTTCCTAATTAGGAAAGCCAATTATAGGTTATTTTACACCTTTTTTTAAATCTTATTTAAACTTAGCACCATTTGAAACTGTTGACCACTCTCACATTAGATAATAACTATAATTTATGAAGCATCTATGGCATCAGAAAACACACTATGTGACTTATGTGGTTACCTAATTTAATCCTAACACCCCATGCAGAAGTCATTAACACTCCCAATTTACAGTTGTGGAAATGGGCTCAAAGAGCCAAATTAGCCAATCTTAAATTATCCAACAACATAAAGTTAGGATGCAAAACTATCTCCTGAATGAAGCCAATCTGCCTTTCCACTATGCCATGCTGCTACCCTCCCTGTCCAGTTTCACCTGTCATTCCCAGCCCAATCGAGGCAAACCCCCCAACCCCATCCCCAGATTACATGAATTTGTGAACTACTCCTGAACAGTTTCTTTTGCCTAGAGGATCACTCTCACCTCATTTGCCTAACAAAAGCCTGTATTGTCTCCTAGGACTCAGCTCAGACTGCACCAATCACTACACTTACCCCAGGCAGAATTTAGGCAGAGAGAAAATTGTTCCTTATTTCATTACATACCTTTCCTGTTGCACTTATTGTTTTGTTGACATGATTTTCAAAAATTTCAAAATGGAATTCTCTTTAATATGAATGGACACATGGCAAAGATGTCCCTTAGGTCCTTGAGGGAGCCAGTGAAATGGTAAAAGTGGTTTAAAGAGCATTTTGAGGTACCAGATATTCACAGGCCTTTCAAGAGAACAAAGTTAGAATAAGACCTGGGTTATGGGGCGCCTAGGTGTCTCAATCAGTTAAGTGGCTGCCTTCCGCTCATGTCATGATTCCAGTGTCATGGGATCAAGCCTGCTTCTCCTTCTCCAGCTCCTCTGAGCTTGTGTTCCCTCTCTTGCTCTCTCTCTCTGTCATGAATGAATGAAATCTTTAAAAAAAAAAAAAAGACTGCTGGGTTAAATACAAAACTCGTTAATGTTCTACAGAGTAATACAATCATAGCCTTTGGAATTTTTTCTAAGGGGCATAGATACATTCCTCTAGTTTTGACCATTTACATTCTAATTTTAATTAAAATTAAATTAAAGTTAAAAATTCAATCCCTCAGTCCCACTAGCCCCATTTTCCAGTATTTAGTTGTCATATGTAGCTTGTGGCTGATATACCGAGCAGCCACACATGTAGAACATTTCCATCACAGAAAGTCCTATTGGATAGAGGTTGGGCCTCCTAAACATGGTTCTAGTGTGACATTGATAGGTCATGCTGTACTGTTTTGCTTTATTTCCAAATTTAATGTAATTTTTTCTAAGGAATCTCCTTCACATGACCACTGGCTTTCAAACTTTTCTAACCAAGACTCACATTAAGAAATTCATTTTGATCAGGGTGCCTGGGTGGCTCAGTGGGTTAAGCCTCTGCCTTTGGCTCAGGTCATGATCTCAGGGTCCTGGGATCAAGACCCGCATTGGGCTCTCTGCTCAGCAGTGAGCCTGCTTCCCCCTCTCTCTGCCTGCCTCTCTGCCTACTTGTGATCTCTCTCTCTCTCTCTGTCAAATAAATAAATAAAATCTTAAAAAAAAAAAAGAAAAGAAAAAAGAAATGCATTTTGATCAACTAATATTTGACAAGTGAGCCAAGAATACTTAATGGGGGAAGGACAGTCTCTTTAATAAATGGCATCTCCTGAATGAAGCCAGCATGCCTACCCCCATAAATTGGGAAAACTAGATATTCCCATGCACAAGAATGAAATCGGACCCTTATCTTACACCATTTACGAAAATTAACTTGAAAGGGATTAAAAACTTCAACATAATACCTGAAACCATGAAACTCCTAGAAGAAAAAATAGGAAAAAGTTCTTTAACATCAGTCTTAGCAATGATTTTTTTTTGGATATGCACCAAAGCACAAGCAACAAAAACAAAAATCAACAATAGGGCTTACAGCAAACTAGAAAGCTTCTTCACAACAGAAAACATCATCAATGAAATGGAAGGACGACCTATTGAATGAAAGAAAATATTTGCAAACCATCTTTCTGCTAAGGGGTTAATATCCAAACTATAGAAGGAACTTACATAACTCAATAGCAAATAAAAACAAAACAAAAACCAAACAATTCAATTTAAAAAATGGAAGAGATACAGGAGCGCTGGGTGGCTCAGTGGGTTAGAGCCTCTGCCTTCAGCTTGGCTAATTATCCCAGGGGCCTGGGATCGAGCCCCACGTCCGGCTATCTGCTCTGTGGGGAGCCTGCTTCCTCCTTCCTCTCTGCCTGCCTTTCTGCCTACTTGTGATCTCTGACTGTCAAATAAATAAATAAAATCTTTAAAAAGAAAAATAAAAAATGGAAGACATACAAATGAACAAGTACATGAAAAGTACTCGACATCTCTAATCATCAGGAAAATGCAAATCAAAAAGACAGCGAGATATATCTTATGCCTGTTAGAATGACTATTATTAAAAAGACAAATAACAAATGTGGGCAAGGACACAAAGAAGAGGGAACCCTTATGCACTTTTGGTGGCAACATAAATTGGTACAACCACTGTGGAAAACAGTATGGAGTTGCCTCAAAAAATTAAAAATGGAACTGTCATTTGATCTATCAATTACACTTCTGGATATATAGCCAAAGGAAATGATGTCACCAGCTTGAAGTGATATCTGTACCCTCAAGTTCATTGCAGCATTATTTACAACAGCCAAGATATGGGAACAACCTGAGAATCCAGATGATTACAGAAATACAACTCTATATATGCTAAAAGAAAAAAAAAGTATCATTAACTTAGAACTCTATATCTAGTGAAAATATTCTTCAGAAATTAAGGGGACTTTGAAAAGGTGACTGCCAGGAGCTGGAAGTTCAGAAAGGAAACTATGGAAATGTTCTAGATGAAGAATAATGAGGCAGGGGCTCTAAGGGTTGAGAGGGGAGATTCTCAGA